ATTCCCAAAGCGTCTTCTCCAACGTCCGCCCGGCTCCAGCCGCCGCTCTCTCCCCCACTCCCCCCCCCCCCCCCCCCCCCCCTCCTCCTCCACCCGCACACAAATACACCGGGAAAAGCTCCTGGCTACGCCACCGGTTGACGTATGAATACGCGCTAGTGCAAGCGATAGTATAGTTCTTGCTCATTATGAACTTCGATTCTCTATACCGTGTCTGCGTTCGCGCCACTGACTGATTTCATCGAACGCTCGACGCCTTCAAACGTGCAAGGATGTTCGCCACCCATTAGTGTAGGGAAGACGTGCGTCACCTTCCCGGTGCCGTCACATCCGAAGCCAACTGTCGCTCGGGCAGAACGTTTCCCAGCCTGCGTACGTTGCACACGACTTGGATCTTCGACTGAAGTCAATGCAGTGCTTTCGGCGACTTCGTAAGACGAGATTGAGCCAAACAAAATAATGAAGGACGGTCCTCCGATGGCACACCTCATTCGAACGTTCGAGTAAGAGAAAATACCGTTATGACCGGCAAGGCGTGTCGGCGGGTACAGAGGGGTTACCCCCCATTCACACTGGAAGCGGATCCGCGTTCGCGAAGCGGTTGCGAAAGCGGTTGTATAAAGATCCAGTGCAATTGCACGCGCATTTGATGTCATCGTGTGCGCGTGCAATTGTACTGAATCCTTATACAACCGCGTTCGCAACCGCTTTGCGAACGCGGATCCGCTTCCAGTGTGAATGAGCCCTTAGTGCGCTCGCCACCGAGCGGGCGCACGTCCACGCGCGATGAATGACGAGCGCCGACGTGTCACGAGGAGACCAATTAGCGCTCGCATTTGCGCCGATCCAAGCGAATGGTTGCTGTAAAAAGTTACTCCGGAAGTAACATTTCGCTTGTTTTCTACTTCGAGCATTTAGGAGGTAATGCACGCTCGGAAAGAAGGCAAACATGCTCCCTCGCGGCCACTCGCGCTCCGGGGAAAGGTTCGCCGTTCCCTCCTTTTGGTACACGGTGTTTCGCAGGGACGCGCGCTGGGAAGCAAGGGCCCACGCAGCCCTTTGAGCTCAGCATGCCACTCAGGATGGGGAAGCCGGTCAAAGGCACGAGAGAGATATAGTTGGACCAAATCGACGGGTGTGCGGTCATCAAGGTGCGCACTGACGATGTGGATCAGAGTGCCAAGGGTGGTTCCACAGCTGCGGCCGCGACGGAACACATGACGTGGGTGACAGAAGGCTATTGCTGTCAAGGTGCAGGCGAATTTTAGAGTTGAGAATTCGCTCGAAGGTGCGGCACGAGACAGGTGGATGCAGTTGGGTGGTATACATGCCTTGCAAGTGACGTCACCCTAGGGAACATCTAGGGAAGGACGGGGCCCCGCACCATACTGGTGGTTGACTTCACTTCACGCGCGGATGCGCTTACCAAGGCGCAGGATGCTGCTAACGGCCCGGACATGCGTTAACATGCACCGTATTTTCCACACAGGTACCGTGAACTTAGAAAAACGTGCTGAGCTTATGATGATGACGTTTATCCACTACGAGCGGAATTTTTTGGCATTGGTGCGATTGCGCTACGAGCAGAAAGTTTCGAAATGCCGCCGGCGAAGTTTTGACGCAAAGGGATATGCCATGTCGCCAAAAAAAGAAAAAAAGCTTAATTGCGCGCTTCATAATTTAACGAGCGTCTCTAGGAGTCGCTTGTAGACAAATTGTTACGATTTTGCGAAATACTGGTAAACAACGCAATGATACCGTCATAATCTTAACCCTGAGACAGGGATAAATCAAATAACGGACAAGGAACTCTCATTGTCTCAGGGTTTCTATTATTATGTTTCCTAACCGGCTCGCCTGCATACTTTCGCTCTTTGCAAAGGTTACCGTGTCGCGAACGGCACAAACCAATGACCCGGCGGCTCGGCGAGCTTGCACATGGCGATCGCCGTCGGGCCGGGCTCGTGGCGCGACACTCGCCCGGATTCGGCCGGGAGCCCTGAAGGTGCGTTCGAAGCGTGAAAACGGCGTTATGTAACGAAGGTCAAAGGCCATACACACCACGAACGAGCAAAAGCCGGTGCAAAGGCGTGCGCGAACGTAAACAACGGTAGAAAAGTGCCGCCGTTCGCCGCTATGAAATGCGTCCCGCAAACTCGATAATCCGTGGCCGTATCTTTTTCCTGTCGCTCGTAGTTTCTCTAACTTGACGGCTACCCTGTCTCACGGGGCATGCCGACGAAACGATCGGAACATCGTCGGGATACGGGGTAATTGCTACAGCCGAGCGCGCCGCAGTTTACCATTGCTCTCGCTGCGAAGGGCCGTCGAGTCAACCACCAGCATGGTAGATACCGGTGTTTGACGTCATGATGTGACGTAGGTGCAAGGAACGTATAAAGACTAGTGATGGGCCGAACTTTTGCCGAATCGAAAATTCGGTGCCGAATCTTGGGATTCGGCCAAGCCGAAATTTTGCCGAACTTTTCTAAAAATTCGGCAAAGATTCGGCAAAAATCCATTGTTGCCAGACTTAAAAGTGATATTTCGTTTTTTCTGACGAAAACTTTTTCAGTTTTTTTTTCTTAAACTTAAATGCAACGTATAATGCACATTGATACAGTTATTAGTAAATAAGGTGATATTCTACAAGATAATTGTGTCGGTGTCCTTTTTGTGTGTTTACTGGCTATTTAACAGCACTTCTTGCAGAAGTGGTGTGACAACGATGTTGAGTAGCGGCCGCAGCCACGACACGTGAGTTTCTGTTTTGATTCCTCATCAGCGCAAGGCAAGCCTGCAAGTGTCTATGCCAACGTTACGTCTGTGCATTGTTGTCGGTTAAAGGGAAATAAAGACGGTAACACTGTGTTCTTACTTTCTCTGCGAGTCACTGTTTCGCACGTGAAAATGAATGAACCGGCTGCTGAGCCAGCTGATCCTCCTCCAGAAGAGATAATATTATTGTAAGTTTGCATGTTTTTCGATTTGAGTCACTTGACGCCAGCTTTGCATGAAAGTGTGCGTTCCATATTCGCGACGTCTCGTTTTTAACTTTTAAAATACTGGTTTCTGATCTTAAAACACGCGGTCGTTTAACGAGATAATAAGAGTTAGGAATGTCGGATATGGAACGTCGTGCAGGTTTAGTTTTAGGTGGGTGAATGAAAACCGCGAAATAACGCTAATTAAAAAGCAATATACATAATATATATATATATATTGCTTTATATATATATATATATATATATATATTTGCACAAACAATTTGTGAGCCGAAAACAGGATTGCTATAATTGCGAGGAGTGCTTCAAACTACTGTAAGACATGTTGCAATTACCTCGTTGCATCACACAACCGAATTTATGTGCCAATGAAAATGTCAAAATCTCCTGAACATGGCATGTTCGGGTGCCCACGATGATTCGCTGGCTATTAAAGTGACCGTATAAATCAGCCTCATAACGCATGACGGAATGCTTTATCAGAGAGGTGTCTGAACGTGGTGGAATCATTATTTGGAGGTATGATCAAAAGAAAAAAAAAAGTTTTGTTTTATGTCAAAATTACCGCATTTTTTAAAATATATTTAAAAAATTTGTCTTGGGCCATTCTGGCGTTTAATACGACTGAAAAACGGGTGGAATACAAAGGACACTAAATTGGCTTACATATATTATTCAATTAAATTCATTAGCCCGAAATAAGCTTCACAAAGGCACAAAATATTGTCTATGAGATTCTCACACAATGTTTATATCCTTATTTGGGTCAGCACCAAGCGATTTACAAACAGGACTGCAGATCCAATCATATTGCGTCTTAGATGTTTTGTTTGTGTATGTGCAAGCAAAATTATCGGTATGATATTTGTTTCTGTTTTACATCCACTCATTAACACATTGCCAGCTGAAATCAAAACAATACTTTGAGATTAATATCTCGTCTATTTTTACATTACAAGTGAAACTCCACGTGGTGTGATGCATGAATCACTGGAAGAGACAGCCCCCGAGCCAACTGCTCCCACGGACGAGGCTCAAGCTCCAGTCTATCTCATTGATCTGGAGGAGTTGGAAGGGCTCAACTTTTCCTTCCTTCAAGGTAAAATATGTCATAACCAAAACTTAGCAACCTACAACCGCCTGCAAAAAAAGGCAATCAATGTAGCACACCATCGTTTTTTCTCAAATATGTATTTTATGTCATAGCATCACCAAAAAAATAAAAAAAAATGCTGAAAGCAAGCAATTAAAAATCCAATATTTGACACAGTTCCATCCAACTAAGTCAAATTGGATAATTGGTCGAGTTTTTTGGTGCCTGTAGATGCACTTTCTGATTATAGGGGCACCATATATGGATGGGATGAGGTTGAATCGGGATCTGTGTAATTTATTATGCCAACATCACTTTTGGGCCAATAGCTATGTGATCCATAGTGAGAGAAAATATCAGTTCAGGTGTGCTGATTAAGGAACGCTTACAGAAGAATTTTTTTGATAATGCAATCAGGCAATCAATTAAAAAAAAAAAGTTTTATTAGATTTGAGTTTTGAAAAAAACGTTCCAACACTCAGAACTACATGGAGCATGCAACTGAAAGTAAATGTTTTGTTTGTCCAGCTCAAGAGCTAGAAAGGCAAGGCTGCTACGTGATTCAGAAGAGTGCTGCAGCTACAAGTGACAAATCATCTGCCAGCACAAGCGCCTCTACCAGTACAAGCGGTGTTCCTCTTATAAGCGATGCTCCTGCAGGTTCCGCCATTCTCACCGTTGCGTCTAGAGGGAACCTTCAACCCAGCCACGAAAAGAATGCGACAGGACCTCCGCTTCAAACTTCTAAGCAACAAAAGACGGTTTCTACCATATGGGCTCATTTTGAAAGGTGCACCAAAGATAAGCTGGCAGCTACCTGTTGCTACTGCCGAAGGAAGGTACGTGTTGGAAAACCAGGAGGCGACACTCGCACGACGGGGACCACAGCACTGCACAACCATATGAAGCGTAACCACGCACACCTAGTTACAAATCCAAGGGAAGCAGCAGCAAAGGAAAAAAGCTCACTAATTCAACAGAGTGCACCCGAGTCAAAAAACCAGAAGAAAGTGCAACCGACACTCCAGGAAGCACTAGACCGGAAGAAGGCCTGGGAGCCCACTGATGCGCAGGCACTGCTGCACTGCCAAAAGCTGGCAGAATTTCTGGCTGTCAGCATGAAGCCATTCTCTATGGTGGAAGACCCAGCATTCCTCAGGTTCATGCACTACTGTGTGCCCAAATGGAAGATTCCTGGGAGGAAACACTTTGCTTCCTCTGTTGTTCCTGCTCTCGAAGCAGCCATTCGTGAGGCCCTCAAGAAAGAGCTCAAACTCAGCATTGGGGGAAAAGTGCATCTGACCACCGACATCTGGTCAAGCCGGCAAGTGACGGACTACATGTCTGTCACAGCTCACTGGATGATCCAGGATCAGCAGGGATGCCTGTCCAGACGGAAGGCAGTCATGGACATGGCAAGTTTCGGCCAAACGCACACGGCTGAGAATATAGCCGAAAAGTTGGACTCCGTCGTGAAACGCTGGCTGCCACCTCTGGACTTAGAACCAGGTTATGTGACCACGGACAACGCTCAGAATGTTGTCAGAGCATTAAGAGATGTCAGCATGAAGCGAATTCCGTGCATGGCACACTGTCTCAACCTCGTTGTGAAAGGAGGCCTATCGAAGGCTGGACCAGCTGTGGAAGATGCTTTAAAGACTTCCCGGGCCATCTGTGGACATTTTCACCATTCGGCTACAAAAATGTCAAAGCTCGCAGAGGTACAGCGCCGGCAAAACTTGCCCCAGCACCAGCTGCTACAAGACGTGCCAACTCGCTGGAACAGCACCTTGCATATGGTAGAACGACTGTGTGAGCAACGACGTGCGGTGACAGAGTTCTTTGAAGACAGCAGCAAGCACCACCTCACTCCAGAACAGTGGATGCTTTTGAAGACCCTGATAACTGTGCTGCGACCATTTGAGGAGGCGACCCTCCTGGTGTGCATGGATGATGCCACATTAGGTCAAGTGCTGCCTCTGCTCAAGTTCATTGAACGGAGCCTTGAACGGATGGCCAGCCGTGAAGGGGCAGCGGGTACTGCACAGCTTGCTGCCAGCCTGCTAACTGCATTGCACAGCAACAGGCATCTGAACAGCATCAAGGAAGACATTGTGTACTGGGCTGCAAGCTTCTTAGATCCAAGGTTCAGGAACACATTTGGCAACTACACTGAAGACCAGGCCGCTTTAAAACTGAAAAGGACGCAGGAGCACCTTATTCGCCAGTTGAGGAGACCATGGATGCTAAAGATGACTGCATCACAACAGAAACCTCGTCGCAAATGTCAGCGCAACCGTGCAGTACATCGGTTCAAACAGTGACCCCACCTCCAGCTGGAGAATTCAGCCTGTGGTTTTCCAGCTCCGACGAGATGGGACTGACCCAGTCACAAGTGCGGCCAGGGCATGCACCACCCCAGCCATCCTTAGCTGCAAAGGTTGAGCTGGACGCATATGCCCAGGACAGAGAAGCTGACAGCTATGGAGTGCAGAGTGACCCATTGCAATATTGGGCAACAAAGAAAAACCAGTGGCCTTCTCTTTTCGTAACTGCAGTCAAGCACCTGGCATGCCCCCCAACCAGTGTTTACTCTGAGCAGGCATTCAGTGCAGCAGGCATGATTGTAACCGAGAGGAGGAACCGTCTAAGCACGAAAAATGTTAGCATGCTGGCATTCATTCGGATGAACAGGGCTTGGATCGACAAGACAGCATCCCCAATTACTTCGATGCTGGAGCAAGATCTGGTCAGCTCAGAATCAGATGACGAGGACGAAGAGCCACTTCTTAAGAGAGTTCACTTTGAAGATACTTAGTGCTTGATGCCAAGATCTCCATATGTTTATGTTCACAAATAATGGGACCCATTATATTGTGCTATCAATTCGTTGGAGCACATGAATCCGTATACTTCACTAGGGATATTGTACTTTCCACAAAGATGTTGCTAGGTGGTGGATGTGCTACAAGTAAAGCTAAGAATGATTATATTTCTATAGACAGCAGTCAATTATAGCAAACTGATGTTAGCCCTGACTAGGATTAATTTTGGTAAGTTGGTGTCGCAGAATGTCAGTGAGTAATGAAAGTGCACGGAAGCCAAAGCAATGTGTGTTTCTTAAATAGTATAGGTTTTTGTAAAAAAGTAAGGTGTCAACGGCATGAATCACATTTTCTGCCTAACAAGAAAAAGGCTTATCATGGTGCACAGCTGTAGATAAAAAAATGCTTAATTTCCACAACTTCAGGGATGCATATATCCACCACTCAGTTACGTCTTTGCAGAAAATAAGTCCCAAAGTGAAGCAGCATATTTTTCTGTGGTTTATTGAATGGGTGGCACAATATAATGAATAACCCTGTACAAAACATTTTTGTTACGTTTTCACATCTAGTCCCACTATTTGCAGTGTTCCTATAGTTATGTTTTAAAGGAGGACACAGCGTGCTCTAGTCCTCACACTTGCGACGCAAGTTTTTGTTGGTTGTTTTATCTAGTCATTGTGTCTTGCCTTAGTTTTCTGAATTATATTTTATAAAGCCATATTCTAAGGACATCATTATTTTGTTTCGCTTCAGGTACAAGTGAATATATGCTCCAAATGCTCAGGTTATTTTACAACATTGGAGATAAAATCGTCCTCCTCAAGCAAGGATATACCATACAGAATTCTGATATATCTTACTGACACCTTTATTCCAAAATGAGGGGACTCATAACAAGGGCGGATCTTCCAACATTGGCACATTATTTGTTGTTGTCGCCACATCGTGCAGTGCTCTCTATGCTCCGTTCCATAATCTACAATGTTGTCAAAGCTAGAGGCGCAAGCGAGCTGTTTTTTCACGTTGTGTGCAGGGCTATCAAAGGTAGAATACGGGCTTGAAAGCATAGCCATGCTTGGTTTGCGCTGACGCACACAGAGCGCTTTCGAAAACCACAAGCTTGCGCTCACGTTGTTGTGAGCATTGAAAACGCAGAACCGACGCGCTTGCGCTACAAGTTTTGACAGGGTTGTGGATTAAGTATGGCACTGAGTACAGAGAACACGAAATCAAACCCGAAATACATTAAAACGGCCCTTCACGCTCCGCCTCGTACACATCACTGGGAAGATAAAATGGAAATCACGTTATCCGGAATGTAGCGCATCGTTTGTCACTTGGGCAGTCGACTGCGTCAATTCCCGGTCGATCTTCAGTTCTTGAGGAAGAACATATTGAAGAGAGCCACACTCACGAAGGCTGAAAAACACAATGTCGCCTACTGCGCACCTTGCCGTAACACCTAGTACTACACTGTACGAGTATGACGATGGTAGGAAACCGCACAACCGCACGGCGTCCATTTGCAATCCATGGCTTCGTCTGGTGCCATCACGGCCATCACTGCCATCACTACAGCGCACCGTTGTTCTCGCGCCTGCACAGATGTTTGCCGAATTTTTGCCGAATCTTTGCCGAACTTTCCACCAAAAGTTCGGCAAGTGCCGAACTTTGCCGAATCTGAAGTTCGGCAGATTCGGTCCATCACTAATAAAGACAAATGATCAGCGCGAGCGCCATATCCTTCGTGTACCGGCGTTAAGCGCGATCCAAACCAACGCTTCTTTTTGCGGCTGTAGGTCGTGCGCGCCCCGGATGTGACGTATTTCGTTATGTTTTTGCTTTTTCCGGCGCGCTTTCTGAGTCAGAACCGTGCGCTTTGGTTTGGACGGGCCAGCTTCGGGCAAGCGCGCACGCGCGCACGCAGGCACGAGCGCACTCTGGCGGTCACCTTCCTCGCGTCGGAAACGGGGGGAAAATTCATAGACGCAGCCATACTCGCAAGCAAGCAAAGTGCAACTGCGACAGACTGGCCGGCCAGACGGCGAAGAAACGCGGAGCAGCAACTAGCTTGCCCTCCACCGATTGGCCGGGACACAGGAGCGCCCTACTACGTCACCGCGCGTTTTTGTGCGCGTTGAGAAGAAGTTGAAATTATCCAACTTTCTTGTGCGCGCCCGGAAGGAGCGCAGAACCGGCGCGACGTCACGAAAATACGTCACGTCCGGGGCGCGCACGACCTACAGCCGCAAAAAGAAGCGTTGGTTTGGATCGCGCTTTACTAGGCCACCTTCCACAGACGAGGGGTAACACCAGACTCCAGTGTATACGCTGGAACATCCGGCAAAGAGCCGGGGAACTGTGGTCTTAAGTATACAAGAGGGTGGACACCATCAGGGCCAGGGTTCTGAAAAGGACAAAGCTGTGACACAGCCTCAAGAACGTCGTCAGTACTGATCGTAATTGGGCGAGGGGGTTAGCACAAGAACCGGTCCAGACTGCAGCGAACTGTGTGTCTTCAGCTATGCCGGATGGCACGAGAGCAATTCGCCATCGACGGAGAAGGAGGGGTGCAGCGACTGCTTCCGCTGGGAGTTAACAAATGCCCAAAATAATTTAGGCTCTTTGACCGCATGAGTAGCGATGTCCTCAGTGAAAGCGCGGCGGGCCTCACGTTTTTTGACGTCACGCTGGATGTCCTTGGCAGCGGCCAGATCTTGGGGGCTATGTTGCACGCTTTGGACTCCCAAGAGACTAGGGAGAAGGAAGTGACGTCAACAACGCTCTTTGGATGTTGATTGGTGGAGTCGCTGATGACGTCTTGCGTGGTGCTGCTAGGATACGCTCATTCACACCTACGTCACTTCCTTCTCCCTAGTCTCCTGGGAGTCCAAAACGTGCAACATAGCCCCCCTGGCTGCTCTCGCCGTCCGAAACATTCCATCTTTCTGTTTGCAAAGGGCAATGACGTCTGGTATGAGCCAGGGTGCGAGACGTGGGCGATGGGCACGCTTGAGTGGCACAGTGTCGCTTGCAAGGACGCTCATCAGAGACGTCTCGCAAATGTCATCAATGTCGTGTTCTGGAAGCAGGGCGTCCCACGGGACAAAGCATACAAGCCGATGGAGGTGCTCTGAGCACCTCCATCGGGTAGGCACGGACAAGCCGAATGTGCTTCCTTAGGGTAGGAAAGACCGAAATGTTCATAGCTGAATGATTTTGTGGTCAGAGTTGCTCATGACAGCAGTGACAGCACAGTTGCGGAGGTCAAGGCATGCCAATTTTCCTATATTGTAGCGTGAGCTACACTGGCCGAGGTTGAGCAGTTTCGCGTGGCTCCCAAAGAGCCGTGCTGCGCAAGCGCGAGGAGCAGTGACGTCACACAGCGCACAGCTGGCGCGCCGGAGCCACCGCCGCCGCGCGCGCCTCCGGTCTGCGCATTTTAGAGGAGTGACGTCATAGCCGCGGCAGACGCACTGGCGCCGCCGCGTGCCCAGCTGTGCGCCTCCGTTGCGCAATAGCCAAGTCTGACGCTGCACCGGAGCCGCTTGACAGCGCCTCTCATTTTGTGCGGATAAGCTCACGCTACGTATATCCTGGCATAGCCGAGCTAAGCCACCGCAATTTTTTGCTGTCGCTTGTCTCGTCGTTCGCGAAATCGCTTTCATGCGGTTTATACTTTATTGTTCGCTCTTCCCGCGAACATTTTATAAATAACTGGCGCCACCTGGCAGAAAATGGGACTGGAGGATGGTGTGGGCAGCTGGCGAGGACCGATTCCTTGGTCGAGGAGGGCCCGCTTGAGCACGTGTTCACGTATCCGAAGATCCCGAACCGGCGATTTGCGGTGCAGTGACGCTCTGCCTGCGTTCTGCACAAGGTTTGCGAACAGCCGTCTACCGTCCTCCCGATCGCTACGAACGTGCGTCCTTCTGAGCGCGACCGTTCACGCACTTGCAACCGAGTAGGACCGAGAGGGATCAGACCGGTTTTTAAGCCTCTTGCGACGGCGAAAGAACTGCTCCGCAGCAGCGCATCCGGTGGGATGCCCCAGAGCCTTTTATACTGGATGCCCATCCTCCACCCCGGGAGGGATTTCGTCCGTGATGTCCAGCGAGCCTGCCCCTTCGCTGCGAGATCGCCGAGTGTTCGTTTTTGGACCTCCGCTTTTCGCTTTTTTGAGCGCTCGCCCTTTGGGGGACCGAACTGGACGCGCGTGGCGCGGTTGGACAGCGATTTGCGACGATTCCGGAGGCGCGCAGTCTTACTACGGGACCGAAAACAAGGAGCAAGCAAGAACCGATGCCATGTTTTCTTCAAGCTGTAACTGGCGGGGCCGAGCTTCCGAGAACAGGCCGTCCGAGAGGAGCGGGCCCTCGTTGATGCGGGCAGCCGAGGAAGTCGTCTGAATGCGAGAGCGGGGCAGACGCGCTGGGAAGAGGGCGGAAAAGCCGGGACTCGGGGACGGGTTCGCCGGCAGGGAGGGACCATCTGTT